CATATTTTCAGTGAGTAAACAAACTTATTATAACTACCACCGGTGCTTCAAAGCTACCTTGTTAAATGTCTCCAGTATTGTAGAAGGCACATCTGGACTCCTCATGAATTTCTCGTGGAACACTACTGGCACTGCAGCTTCCAGAATGTTCCAGAAGCACGCATGGTTCCTCCAATGATCCTGCACCGTGTTCCATGCTGTTGTCACCACCTCAATTACTACTCCGTCGCCGAGATCAACCTAGATTAGAATCGACGAGAGCAAATTGTTTGAGCTTGAAAATGAATTTTATAATGATACATATGCGAAATTATGTATCAGTTGATATTACGTCTGACATACGACCAGGAATATCGCGTCAGCTGCGAACAAGTAGAGACGAATCCACATGGTATGTCTCGAACAGCTTTATTTGCGAGGCAAACGAAACACATTGAAGACTGAAACATAACAGTATAATATGAAGTCAACAGTATAAGTAACCTGGTTGGAATACGTTACTGTAGAATCATAATTGTGCAGTATTGTTAAACATTAGAATACAAGTTAGTATGTGGTATCCATACCTTCCTACCTTTTCCACCTTTTCTGCTTCCATCGTTCTTCTTTTTATCGCTCAGGTTATCAAACTGTTATGTATCTTTATTATTTCCTTGTTTTTATACCGCTTCCTTGCTTGATATTCACCTTTTTTTACGTTCCTCATCTACCTCTACTCTCCTATATACTGTCTGCACTGTCTATATATACTTCATGTACCTTTTCTTCTCACCTTTCCACCATTTAGTGCTTCTTTATGTCATTAATTTTCTCTATTTCTATCATTTCTATCCTTCCCCGTTCTTTTTCTCACATCACACTTCTTTGGCCTTTCCAGTTTATAACATATAATCGATTCACCTGATAGCATATGCATACACATTGTGTACCACTGCTTTCAATAATTAATACATAAAGGAATACCACTAGCTACAATTCAATGTTAATATAATATATCTTTAAATAAACTAGCTTTGATTATATCGCAAATACTCAAAATAGCATGGCAGTAGTTGAACTAGTTCCATTCATATAAGTTGAAAGTATATTTCTGTGAAAAAAATTTGTCGCAATTTATTTGCACATTTTTTTTACGTCCCGACTTTCGAATCCGTACGTCGAGCCGTTTAGATTTGTGCCCAACTGTTGACGGCCGGACGCACGCTCATGCAATTCTACAAGCTGCATCTGTCTATGTCAGATGAGCTAAAAACAATGCGTCCAAGCAAACAATCAAGCGAACAATGCGAAATAAACAATCAGTGCACAGCAACTGCCGATAAAATACATAGACTGGTCAGGGCTCGACATACTCGCATTACACGAGTACGTGTAACTGTTTAGCGCGGACCAGTCTATAAAATATTCGGCTTCAGAAATTCGGTATTTAGCGTTCACATGAGGAAATACGCGGTCCAAGAGATTTGGTATTTCTCAAGCACAAGAAGTAATTCGGCATCTGGGAAGCCGCGTATTTAAACAAATACCGAATCTATTTAGATTCCATATTTGTTGGACCGCGCATTTTGAATTTTAGCCTCGTGTGAACGCTAAATACCGAATTTGTTGCTACGTCACGTATTCCATGTAAATATGTCCGAGTAGATGCATAACTCGGCAGGGGAAGAACAAAGTATCCTGCCAGTTATGCGCGAACGATTGTGTTGCGCTATGAGCAATGGTAGCGGCAGCACATACCCAATGCTATGGGAAGCGTACCTAGTGCATTGAGCATGTGATACGGTTGTATTACAGACTCTCCGCAGGGACTCTGCTTCGAAGGAGGGGAGAGTGTAAGGTGTCTATACCGTCACCTACGAGTCGAAGCCATTCTACGGGATTCTACAGGATTCACATACAGGCTTCGACCCAGGATTCACGGCAAGCCAGGCAAGGCCACGGCTGCCAGCGTATATAAGGACGGCCTGGGATCGACTCGGGGTGCTTCACTCCACCAGACGACCAGGAGAATCGACCGTGTAAGGATCAACCCTTACAACGTACGTGTGAACGCGGCTAGTGGCACCCGCGGCGACCTTAACGAAGAGTAAGAGTAAGAGTAAAAGTAAGAGAAGAGTTAGCTCCAAGAAACGGTCCTTGCTAGAGTAGAGTTAAGGCCTGTCTCCACACACGCGGCGCGGCACGGAACGCCACGGAAACGGCGTCGTTCACCCCTACCGGCAAAGTTCAATTCTATTATATCTTATGGCGCAGTCTCCACTGACACGGCA